GAGAGAGAGAGAGAGAGAGAGAGAGAGCCTGAAATTCTTCTTATTTCTCTCTGCCCTCTCATTATTCCTGGGTTTGCTGCCCAGTTTTCTAGATGGCATTGTCCTTTTAGGTAGCAATGTCTGATTCTGCAAGTGAGCTATGCTCTATAGATAAACTCATGCAACAAAGTCCTAAAAACACATATATCTATACTGAAAGAAACACCCACTCACAGACACCAGGAAGGCGTCTAAGTGAACTAGAAAATAATTCTGCCACAAAGAAAAGAAGAGCTTTTGAAAAACAGGAGGAGTTGGGGGTTTACAGGTCTTAATTAGAAGCTGGGCTCCGCTTAGGTCTGATGCCTCCTTGCTTAACCCTTGGTCCTATTTTGCAGTGAAAAGCGTAAGTGGCAGAAAATTCAGGGGCTCACAGGAGGCTCATCGCCGGTTCCCAGGACAAACATGCTGACTTTCATGTAACCTTTAGCACCCGAGCTGGCATCTTCGGGGTCATTGAGAAGGAGCCACTTTCTCATGACAGCGTGACCTAAAATAAAAAGGACAAGGGCACTTTAAAGGGAAGCCGACGGGTCTGTGATTTCATCTGCTGTCAGACAAACAAACATGGCCTCTAAAGCAGCGGTTCTCAACCTGTGGGTCGCGACCCCTTTGGGGTTCGAACGACCCTTTCACAGGGGTCGCCTAAGACCATCAGAAAACACATATATAATTACATATTGTTTTTGTGATTAATCACTGTGCTTTAATTATGTTCCATTTGTAACAATGAAATTGGGGGTCACCACAACATGAGGAACTGTATTAAAGGGTCGCGGCATTAGGAAGGTTGAGAACCACTGCTCTAAAGTGTCATCATAACACGCCAATTTCCCCAGATGAGTGTCTGAATTAATGTCCTCCTCTCTGCACGGCCTCCATCCCCATCCTGCCCCGTGTAACCCAAACAAGGCTCTCTACACTATGAATGGGTTTCATCACTTGACTTTGACAAGATGCAAATATCCTTATAAAACAGAGGAATTACCTATTTGTGAACATTAAGATAATTACCATTAGATTTTTAAAAATAAAATCCATACTATTATTCTTTCCCGCTAAGTATCCTTCCCCCTCCTCAATCAAGAAAAAAATATTTTTTATTCCTTGATCCTCCCAATTTTCTTGATTCTCAGAATCTTCCAGTTCGTGGAGAGAACATTGCTTACCAGGTTCATCATAAATGAATCCAACATCAATCTGGGAAAAAATAATAAAGGAGTTTGGATTTTAAAATCAGTTTTAAAATAAAAGAAACCATCATTATTATATTTAAATAGAGTGCTCCTGACTAGACTTAAATTTCTTTGGGACTCAACATTTCCATCGCACTCTCTGTGTGTGGCATATAGGAGAACCTCCGTCCATCATTTTGAATTAATGAGCTAGTCTTAGAGCAGGAAGGAACCACGGAAGTAGGGGGATCAGTGTGTCCCTATTTGCTTGGGACTTTCTGGTAGCACAGAAAGTTTCACATTCTATGAAACCCCTTAGTCCCAGGCAAACCTGGACTGGTGGTTACCCTACAGGAAGTCACCTGGCCCAACTGCCTATCCAACACTCTACTCCTCCAACTAATGCTAATATTAATGCAATCATTGATTGGGCACTCCAATGTGCCAGGTGCTATGCTAGATATTTTATGTATCCTATCTCATTTATTCCATCTTCACAATGATCCCATTTTACAGAAGAAGAAACTAAGGATCAGAGAAGTTGACATGTGGTTGGTTAGTGGCTGGTTAGTGGCAGACAGAGCATGAACACAGGTCTGCCTGACCCAGATCAACCTCTAGGACCTCTCATGACTGCAAGCTCCTTCCTTTGAGATGCAGCCCATTCCATGTAGAAGGCACCAAGTATGTGTCCTTAATTCTAATGTTTGTTACTTGGAAAAGCACCCTGATTCTCATCCCTGGTTTGGCTTGTCTTTATCCTCCAGATTTATAATAATTGGCTTTGTAGATGGTGCCCTGGGGCCACTGGTAAGTGCAGCTGTGTGATGAGCTTCTTGCCATAATCACCCCTTCCCTCTGAAACAGTGTACTGGCTTCTATCCATAGTTGGGATGCTGGGAAGGGCCCGATATGGCAGTTTCAGGTTATCTTGCTTTAGGGTGCTGCTAAGTGTCGTACTTTGGAAGTCACTACACCCAGACATGCAGCTGGTTCCTGGTCCCTGGGCATTCATATCCTGCTGGTATTCCGGCCCTCAGCAAGGATCATGGCATCAATCCCTGATGCACAACCTTAAGATGTCACCAAGATGGGCATCCTGAGATCTGACCAGGAACCTGATTCCTCTTTATGAAAGTGCCCATCTTTGATGTAAGTTGAATGAAACTGACAGTTGTCACGCACCTTAAATTCCCCCATCAGACAATCTGCCCGCAAAGAATGGGAATTATAAACCTGGAAGAAAGAAGAGTGGGGGAAAGATTAGTGGCTTTATCTGGCAGATAGTGGGCACCACCTTCCTACTCCGTGGCCCCCTTACCCGAATGCTGATGATCTCATCCATCAATTCAGAAGGGGTTATGTGGACATTGTAGAAAAACAACTGTCAAAACAAAGAGAAGATTGTTTGAATGTAATAAGAATGAACTCAGGTTTAGTGTGTACGAAACTGTAATATTGCAGGCCCTCCCCCAAAAAATACAACATGCAAACTCCATATTAGATTTGACCATATTAGATCTGAACACATTGCAAGGCCTGAGAAAAGGTCCCAAGGCTTAATTTCATGAGCAAACTCACCTCTGCATGTTGAAAAAGGAAAAAAAGGTTAAGTAACAAACTATAGTGTTTATTTACCTAAATGAGATTATTCTTTTGGGACCAGATAGCTACTAGCTTAATTAAGTAAAGATTTAAGGTTGTATCTTATGCTTAGGGCTTGTATGACCTGGAAAGTTGAGTTTAATTCTATCATTTTTAACTCTATCATTTGTGCTTAGTGACTCTAATTTTGTTCTTTCTAACAAAACACCTTCAGAGTCAACTTTGCCCATTAGATGTTAGTTCCTTCGTAGAGTCAATATTGACCACATTTTAACTCACTGTACCAGCTAAGTTTAAGAAAGTTGATTCTTGGGAGATAAATATTGGATACATAGAGGTTGTACATAAAACCAAGTTTTATGTACCAATTAAGTTTACTTCTAAGAGAGAAAGATTGAGCATTTACTTAAACTGAGACATTTTTCTCCTACTTTTTACTTATAAATATTTTAAGTCTACAAAGAAAAAGAAAAAACAGTAAAATAAATACCATCTTTCATTTGTTTCACCAATTGTTACCATTTTGGAGACATTTCAGGTTTAGTGAAATATCTCCTTCTTTTTAACTGAATTATTTGAAAGTTCTAGGTACCATAATACTTCACTCCTTAAAATAGATTCTCATGCATCTCCTAAGAGCAAGGACATCCTTATATACAATCACAATACTATTATTACACCCAAGAAATATAACAGCTAACATATAGGCATTCAAATTTCTACAATTGTCCTGAAAAGTTTTTTAAATCTAGGACCACTCAAGGATCATGCATTGCTTTTGGTTGTTGTGTCTGTTTAGTCTCCTTTTGTCTAGAACAGAACTTCTGCCTGTTTTTGCTGTTTGTTTTTGTCTGTCATGACTGGTTATGCTGAAGAATACCCTACAATCTGGATTTGTGTGAATGATTCCTCACTGTTAGAGTCACTTTGACCACTGAACAAGAAACAACCCAGGTGATGATTACTCCATTAGATCACATCAGGACACATATGTCAGTCTGACCCATGATTGGTGATACCATGTTTAATCACTTGGTTAAAAAGATGTACATAAACTAGTGATGTTTTAGCAAAATTCCTTTCTTGATATATAAATTGGCTCAGTTACCTGATTCTTTCCCTTTGTCAAGAGATCTAATCTCCAAAAAAAATCATTAACATGTGAAAATTCTGAGATGGTGAATCTTGCTGGGCTCCTGAGAATGTAATTGAGTAAATATTTATCCTGCATTATAAACGCGTTCATAGGTCTTCCGCCTTTGGCATCTAGTACCTTGTCCTCCCTGCAATCCAGGCTTGTCCTCCAACATGACCTCCCAGCCTTTCCCCAAGTCCATTTCAAGTGCCTCCTCTCAGTGAGCACCCACCCGTCTCTGAAATGAACTCTGGAGCCCCTTATCTGCAGGCTGCTGTCTGCGATTCACTGCAGGAGGAAGAGAGGTGAGAAGGAAATGGGGCTTTCTCCAAAGCTGGGGGCCAGCTTGAACAAAGGGCAGAAACAGGAACACCAGACAGAAGAAACCAGTTCTTTGTGAACAAAGGTAGGAAAAAAGAACAAAAGCTGGGGCTGGGATTAGAAGCTGTAGGGAACTAAGAGGAACTGTGATAAGAAACTGTGGTAGGAAAGGCCTTGGCTCAGAAAACGGCATGAGATGCAGGCAGAGGAATCTCAGAAAGGCATCTCCTCGGCCGGCCCTGGTGGCTCAGTGGTTGAATGTCGACCTGTGACCCAGGAGGTCACGGCTTGACTCCCAGTCAGGGCACATGCTCGGGTTGCAAACTGGCCCCCAGGAGGGAACGTGCAGGAGGTAGCCGATTAACGATTCTCTCTCATCATTGATGTTTCTATCTCTCTCTCCTCCCTTCCTCTCTGAAATTAATAAATATATATTTTTTTAAAAAAATGAAAAGAAGTACATCTCCTCAGTAGAGCAAATCTGGACTCTCAAAATTCTCTAAACCTGTAATTTCTCTTCACAGGCCTACGTGTGGGGTTCTGTGGCATTGAGTCAGGTATTCAGCATTTTTGAGGAAGGGATTCAGTATTTTTGGAGGAGTGTTGCAGAAGAAGCCAACAGAACCAAGCTATATTCTCAGTATAAGGAGAGAGAGAAAGAAAAAATCCTTTTTGCTCATCATTGCTATTCTTAAACATCTATTATTTCTATGGCCAAGTAAGTTTGACACTGTAACAAAGTCAGGTCACTTAGCCACAGAGCATCCTGCTGATTAGAAAGACCAAAGGCAGAAGTAGGTGCCATCATGGGCTCCACACAGGAGTACCAAGATCCACTAGGAAGGGCTCCGTCAGGAGGTTGCTGTAAGAATCCCAGAGAGACCCCAGCAGCTCTGAGAAGCAATGATGAAGCAGGCTGTGTGATTCCAACACCCAGCGGTTCTTACGTTTAACGCTGGAACTTTGTCTTGTCTTTACCAGTTAAGTTGTATGTGTTCCCCTCCCACATGGGACAGGGGACAGGTGGGTGGAAGGCAGGAAGGTGCATATACACAGAACAGACTCCCTGAGCCCGTTTACCTCATCGAAAAATGGATTGTTCCCTCTCTTGATTCTTGTTCGGTGCGTCTGGCCACAAATGTGGACTTTGACCACAGGTTTTATGTTGTTGCCACATAACTGCCGGCCCTCAATCACTCGGACCCGGATCTGCAAGCACAGAAGGGGTGATGTTACGGATGCTTTCCCGGCCCATGTTGTAAGAGAACTCTCAGGCACTGCCTCCGCTCATTCACGTGGGAGGATGGCTGAACCCCCGCAGGGCAGCTTTGCAATGTATCTGTGCTAATGGATGGGGAGCAGCCACCTGTGCTCATTCCCAAGGTGGGGACAGGGGCTGGGTCCCAGAAGCCAAGAGAGGGGTTGAAATACTCCAGAGCTGGCCTGGGGAAGGGCAGGCAGGGCTGAGGCCACTACTCAGACCCCAGCTGAGCCCTGGGATACACAAACTCACTCTGTAGCCATCTCTGCAAAGAAGGCAGTGCCCAGAGCTAGGAAAACGCAGTGCCCTTGTTCTATTCCTACCCCAGGGGATGGTTTTACTTCTCATCTAGCTTGACCACACCTCCTCCCACACGAAGAAGAACCACGGAGAGCTCATCTTATTGGGTAAGGACCTGATGTCCTCTTTAACTAGCTGAGCCACTGCCGACAGAACCGGTCCTCCCCGCGTCACCCCGCAGAAGCTGGACAGTTGGTCTAAGACAAGGACCCGGCACTCGGGCTCTTCCTACCTGGAAGTCCTGGGGCTTGTTGGACAGCAGCCGCCGCGTGTTCCTCCCTTTCGTGAGCCTCCGGGCAAGCTGAGCTTCCGACACCGTCCTACCTGACACCTTGGGCCCCAGGTCCCTGACCGTGCTGTCCAACCCATCTTCTTCACCTCCATCTTCCTCCTCCTCTCCTAAAACATGCAAAGGGAATCCAGTCAGAGATGGCCCTTCCCTGGGATGTCTGAACACTCCGGCTTCCCGGACAGAGAGTTTTCTGGGTTCCTGAGGCTCAGGTGAAGGAGACGCCTCTTGGTGACACTGACTGGGGCTTGTTTTGACTCCGATTCTGGAGGAAGATGTGTTCGTGGTGCATGATGACTCTCATTTAGGCTGCCCTCAAAGTGACAGGGAGACTGCCGAGGCCAGGGAGAGGGTGTGAGGCTCAGTCGGACCCAGCAGAAATCACCCAGCTCTGATCTCAGAGCCCAGACTGCCGTTAAGGGGCCTTTCAGTGGTGAGGGCGGAGGGATGAGGAAACTGGAGCCCTGAGAGGACGCTCCAACCCCTCCCTTCCCACCGCAGGTCTCCTCTCCGGAGATGCGCTCATGAGGTTTGTACAGTCTCCTTCCTGCTTGAGCCTCCTGATGTTTGAAGGCCCTCTCCACCCGCTTGCCAAGCAGACTACGGTGGTCACCCTGCTCTCCCCTTTGTCCTGGTTTGTCAGTCCCACACACGTCTGTGCCCTCACGTACACTCCACCCGCCCACCCGCACCCCTGCCGCCCCAGCTTCCCTTCCATTCAGGGGAGAGAGCTGTTCCTATTTGGTAGAGTGAACCCCCTTCCACTGCCTGAGAGCCCACTTCCTTCTGATTCTTTTTTAAAAATATATTTTATTGATTTTTACAGAGAAGAAGGGAGAGGGATAGAGAGTTAGAAATATCGATGAGAGAGAAACATCGATCAGCTGCCTCCAGCACAGTCCCTACTGGGGATGTGCCCACAACCAAGGTACATGCCCTTGACCGGAATCGAACCTGGGACCCTTCAGTCCGCACGCCGACACTCTATCCACTGAGCCAAACCAATTAGGGCCCTTCTGATTCTTTAGGGACTCTCCAGATCTCTCTTCCTCTCTCTCTCTCTCTCTTTCCCCTCCAGTGGTCCCTTCTCTATGGTCACCTACCCTCTGCATTCAAATGTACACAAACCTTTCACTCCTTAAAAAAACAAAAATCAACTCCACCTACTGTGTCTCCCCTTTCTTTCATTGACAAACTCTTGAAACTCATTGACAAACTGCAGCTTTTCCTTCCCTAATAGACAAAAAGTCTGAACTCCCAGTAATCTATGCAATAGAATTTAAGAGAGACTAAGAAAAAGACCTGCATTTGAACTCCCCACCTTTGCAATACAAAATCAAGTAAGAGGTTTAATTTCCACGTGGAGTTACCTCACATCATGGTATGAGTTAGCTCACTCAGCGTGCTGGGTAGCACGGCTCTTAAAGCTCGGGCTCTGGAGCCATGCTGTCTGGGTTCAAATCCTAATTCTGAGACATGAGCGTGAGTCAGTTTCTTTCTGTTTCCCCATTTGTAAAAAGGGGGAAATCACAGTACTTACCGCAGGGTATTGTAAAGATAAATGTAATTTACACAGTGCCTGGCACAGAGAAGCACCCAATAAATTAAAATGTAAGTGTTGTTGAGAAATCAGTTTGGGTTGGAGCGCAGCAATGGGTGGGGTGGAATCTGAAGCAGTCAGTGGCAGCATGGGGGCTGGGAGCACAGAGGGAGGAAGGAGCAACCATGGGGAAGTAAAAGGCCTCCCCGATGTACTGCTTTAGAGTTTAGCCCAGCATGAACCCTCCTCCTCAACACTCTTCCATTCTGCTGAGTCCATCCAACCTGGCTTCTGCTCTGCAAAGTTCCACCAGGACCTCTTCCTGCTACTTGAGGAACCTTTCTGAGTCCTCATGCTTGATCTCCACGGCATTGGACACTGGGACCCACACATGCGTTTTGAATCCTGCAGCTCTCCTCCTGGTGCTCCCACTAAACCTTTTCAGGTGCTTCCGCGGGCCTCCCTTCCTGCCTCCTACTCACCAAGTGTGACTGCCCACTCTGCTCCTCAGCCAGCCCTCTCCTCTGACCTGACACTCCGGATCCACACTTCATGGTCCTTCAAGGAGCCCCAAACCCACAGAATGTTAGACTTGAGGGGACCTTAGAGAGCCTGCCTCTCACCTACTTTACAGGTGAGGTCAAAAGAGCTGAAGTGACTTGGATTACTAGGATCTGAGCTGAAACCAGGACCAAGTCTTTGCCCTAAGTCACTGGTGCAAGAGTAGATTAAAACCAGGCTGCAGTTGAAAGAGATGCTGTCCTCCTAATCCTTCATCATTGCTGTCAGGGTCAAGGAACCCCATAGAAGTCAAGGGTAGGGAACAGCTACCTTTGACCTTTGCAACATAACCGGGGCCTCACCTTCCCTATTCTTGAGGAGGCTTCAACCGAAGGGCTTTCCCACTACCCATCTGCGGCACCCATCTGCTGCACCCATCGGTGGCACCCATCTGCGGCACCTGCCTCTTAGAATGTCCCTTCTCCTATTCTCCACCAGGTGAGCTCCTCAACTTCTCAACATTTCAAGTTCCAGAGGAAATGTACTGTCTTGGGACAGGCCCTCCCTGCCTCTCCCACAGGGAGTGAGTCACCCCTTCACATGCCTTCCACACATTGTTCCACCCAGTCCTCCCACAGAGACTTGCGTCCATTGTTAACCCGTAGGCCTCCCCACGACCAGCCACTCTCAGAGGCAGAAGGCTTGACTTTTCTTCTTTCTATCTGCCCACTGCCCATGTAGGATTTATACTACATAAATCCTAGTATACAGCACAGGCTCGATGAATGTGGAATGAGTCATAAACCAGGGCATCCTGACCGCTGCTCCTACCTTCTCAAGTTCTCAGAAAGAGCACCCAGACGCCAGGGCGGTGCTCTTCCCAACCTGGGCACCAGCCTCAGGGAAGCGCAGAGGGTCAGGCTTGCCTTCTTCAAACCTGTTCCAGATTGGGCAGTGCACGGCTTTAACAACAACTAACACTAACTTCCTGGGTGCAAGGGGGATTTCCTCCCACTGTGGATTGTTTCTTTTGGGGTTGGCAGTTGTTTAGGGCAGCAAGCAGGAGAAGGCGGGATAAAGCACCCCTGTGCTGCATGGATTCAGAACAAGCCCTCATTAAACTCTTGATGGATGCTTCAGAAACAGACTGCAGGTGACGACAAGCCCATTTCTTCTGGAATCACCTTCTGCTATCCAGACTTTAGGCTGGACCTGAGGGAACCAGCCTAAGTCATGGCGACTGCCAGCATCTCTGCATCGCAGCGGAAAGATATTTGAGCAGGAAATCGCCCCTTTACGTGGCAGGAAGCTGCACAGGTTGAACAATGCTACCCTAAGTGTTCCACAAAGAATGAGGGGGGCCCTAAGGCATTGCCCAATGCACCCTTCTGCACAAGCTGTTTCATTATCCGAATGTGAGTGGCTGTGCTGGCATGCCCTGTACATGAGACCCAGGCACGGATCTGAACCACAGCCACGTGGATCTACAAACAATGACTCTTTCATGATCACAGCGGCAACTGAGCCGGGAGCCCCTGACTGAATAGGAAGTTGCTGGTGGTATTTGCTTCCTAGAGCTGTTGTAACAAAGTCCCACAAACCGGTTGGCTTAAACAATAGAAATCTACTCTCTGACAGTCCTAAACCCTAGAAGTCCAAAATCAAGGTGTTGGCAGGGCCATGCTCT